AAGTTTATTATAATGAGTTTCTTTAGACCTAATGAACTTCGAAAATTTTAAAATTTATATTATTGTCGTGCGGGTTAATAGTAGGTGGGTTTCTACTATTGATCTAGCTTGACTACGTGAGCACTGCTTTGATTCGTTTATGTTCGCTTCACACTACAGAGGCTCCCACGACGTTCACCACTCAACACACCTTTACAACACTACTTCCACAGCGCACAAGACACTAGATGCCGATTCCACACAGGTAGGTAACAATTTATTTATATATAGGTACTGGTTATTTATTAGCGAAAGGTAAAAAGCTTTTTCTTCTTTTTTTTGTTATTATTAATTCTTTACCTCTATATATACTAAATTTGAGTCTATTAGACTACAAATTGATGCCTACATACTTTATGCAAGATTACACACAATCTATAATAGACTACAACTTATGACGCATAAGCTATATTAAACTATATAATATCTAGGATGCACAATTATTAATATACTTTCTTGTATTACATTACATATATACTATTGTTCCCGACTCACCATGTCACATGTGCGGTCCCATGGGGCCTCAAAATCATGTGCTCCTTTTGAACCCGATCGATCGAGACTTAAGTCTTCGAAGCTACTTCGAAGCCCAACATACCCCGAACGTAATGTATAGGGTATCGATTACCGTCATGACAATTATTGAGTTTGTATGTAGATTATGTATACTTAATAATTTAATATCATTTAATTTATGTTTACAGTTCATTTTAAATTTGTTTGAGATTTTTATTTATTAATCAAGTTTCTCTTTAGAATCAGGCCAATGCCAAAGTTCCGAACAAATGTTACATAAATGCCTTTTTAGACCTACAAATGACGATAGACATTAGTGTAATTTACGTTCTTCCAGCCATAGTCAACAATCAAAAAGGTGCTTTTTTTAGACCTTCAAATGATGGCGATAGTTCTTCCAGATCAAAGCCGATAATCAAAAAGATGCACTTTTTAGACATTCTCGATTGGTAGTAATGCTGAACTTTTATGAAAATCTTGATTTTTGTTAAACGTTAAAGTGATCTCATAAAAATCTCAATTTGGTGAAAGCGGCAGCAAAAATAATGATTTAAGATTCTTTTTGGTACTGTGTCTTATATAGTTTTTTTTTTTAATATATATTTTTATTAACCAATAAATAAATAAATTCTGTAGAATTTTCGTGAAGTCACATATAATAACTAAATTCTTTACAACTAGACTATTTTATATATAATATGTATTATGAGTATAGTATGCTAATTTTATATACTGTACTCAAGTGCGATTTTTGTAGCATACTCTACTACGTTACTAAACCATATACCACTACTATTCGTAATACCGATATAATTTACTATTAAAGACAGCATAGAAATTACTACTAGAACGGCTTTTGATAAAATAAAATTTCAATCGATATTTCTTGCGAATTTTCTTCATTAACATATTGTAAAACTATTATAATTATATTAGGAATACAGTATATTTACAATTATTTTTGGTGTATATACAAAATATAAAAGGTTAGATTAAAATCGATTTATAACCGGTTGTATTAAAACCGGTTATATTAAAGTCGATTTACATTCGGTTGTATTAAAACCGGTTATATTAAAGCCGATTTATATCCGGTTGTATTAAAACCGGTTATATTAAAACCGATTTATATCCGATTATATTAAAACCGATTTATATTCGGTGTTGGATTTAAACAATATATAAAACCGGGTTTAAAATATATAACCGGTTCCAAACACTAGCGTCAGTATATAAAAAAAGAGATATTGTGTTACTTTAAAGCTCGGTATGATCTTGTTGCAAAAGAACTCAGGAGTCTTACCAGCAAAGTCGCACTTACTGCAGATATCTGGACTTCAATTTCCAACCAGGCCTATCTTGGTGTTACGGTTCATTACATTGATGATAAATGGCAAATGTGTCGGTTATTACTGGACCTTATCCATTTTGAGCATAATCACACTGCAATACATACGAAGGAAAAGCTCTATGAACTTTGTGGCGCTATGAATATTAGTGATAAGGTAATCGCACTTATCACTGATAACCACTCTGTGATAGTACTATGTGGAAGCCTAATGGAGCAAGATTGGAATGTACAAAAGTTTCATCACCATCGCTGTTCGGCGCATGCTCTTAATTTAGCTGTGAATCATGGAATGCAACTTAAAATTTTAGTAATTGAAAAGGTCCGAAATTTTGTTAATAAAGTTAGGCACTCAACTGTTTTATGTGATGCACTCCGTCAATTTTGTGAGATCAACAAAAAAAATTATATTAAACCAACGGTTGATGTAAAGTAAGCATAAAAAATAATTTAATAGTATTCAAAGCGTTTAATTTGGATCATAAATACTTACTATTTACTTTCACTTTTGTTATTTTAATCACATTATTTTAAGCATGCGTTGGAACAGTACCTATAGCATGTTTCATAGATTTAAAAAAATGCGTAATGAATTAAGTTTACTTATAACTGCGCATAAAAAACAACACGAAAGTGCTTATCCTAATGATAAGGAATGGGAAGTTATAGATATCATGGTTAAGTTATTAGAACCTATGCTCGTCGCAACAGAATTATTATCGTCAAGCTTCTATCCAACTATTTCTGACATCCGTTTAACTTTTTTGGGACTTCTCCATCATCTTAATAAGTTTATGGATGGCGAACTATCCTCAACAGAACAGTATACAATAGCAGATGCTATTAGATCTAAGCTAAATGAATATTGGTCCATCCTTGAAGAATCAACTACTATCGCCTTGATTCTCGACCCATCATCTAAGTTTATGACTTTTCCCTTTGGTGATCAAAAAGACGCTGCTCTAACTAGTCTACGAAATGTAATGTCTCAATATAATTCGCAAACCCCTACAGCAACTACCATTACACCTACCCTAAAATCAGCGTCTAAAAATAAAAGAAAATTTTTTGAGGCATTATTAACTCAACAACAAACAATCGAACAACCTTTAATAGAAGAATTGGAAGATTATTTGTCTATGCCAACGACTAATAAAAATAATGCTCTTTTATGGTGGGCTGAAAATGAACATAAATATCCAACACTTGCGAAAATGGCGCGTGACCATCTGGCAATTTTAAGTACAAGTGTACCTTGTGAAGAAGTTTTCTCTACTGCAGCGGGAACACTCACCAAGGTTTGCAACCGTCTTGACCCTCAGACTGCGCGTGCATCACTCTGTCTAAAAAGTTGGATAGAACAAGGTGTTGCTGCGCTTAACTAGCTAAAAAAAAAATACGGAAAGAATGATTTTTGTTTAGTATCTTTTATCTTAGCATTAGTATTATATATTTTAGAATTGTTTTTTTTTTTTTTTTTTTTTTTTTTTTTTTAAACAAATTAGAAAGCAGTAGGGCTAACATAGTATATAGATATAAATTGACTTAGAAACTATTATTATAAGTATTAAATCTTACAATAAATATCATTTAGTATTAAAT